TTGGCGGTATGAACGAATGGGAACGAATGAGTATGAATGAATGGAAACAGAGGAGCAAATGGATAGAAACGAAAGAGTGAATGGATGGAGAAAGGAATGAATGGAAAAAGAGGATGGGCATCGCTCTCTTCCTCGTAGACTGCCATATAGTTAGGTCGTTTCATGTATCATAGTAAATGTTTTTTTTTTGTAATTTAAATAAAAGGAGTTCTATAAAATAATCATCCTGTTATTCGCGAATCCTCATTCCCACAATTTTGGGGGCTCGTCCGGGATAGAGGATCAAAGATTACTTGGATGTTAACGGATTTTTATGGAAGACGGAAGTACCCGAATTGCGGCGCGGTACAGACGGTGACGCGGACGAAGAAGCGAGGTGGACACGTCGTATTTAAAGATTATATTAAATTACAAAAAGAATGTCTAAAGACGAAAATAAGATGGAACGTGCATTTCGCGAGGCGGCGTGGCATCCAGTTGAAACTTTACCGGTATTCAACGGGACCGATAAGACTATAACGGCGGCGAGGTGGGCGCAGGAGATAGAAGAGAACGCGGAAATATTTGGTTGGAGTGCTACACAGCAATTAATTTTGGCGAGGAGATCGTTAGCCGGAAACGCATTACTATGGTTAAAGTCGGAGAAACCATTCAAAACTTATGACGACTTAAAATGTGCTATTATGAAGGAGTTTCCTGATAGCATAAATTTGAAAGAGCTGCACGAAATCTTATCCAACAGGAAAAAAGGAAAAAACGAAAGTTGTTATGAATATATGCTGATAATGAAGGAGTTGGGCAAGCGCGGCAAGTTACCTGATTATTGTGTTATTCAGTACATAACAGACGGTATTATAGATGATGAGATAAACAAGGTCATGTTGTACGGGGTCACTACCTATGCCTCGTTAAAAGAAAAATTAGTGATATACGAATCCATGAAGAAAAAGATGTACGTAACTACAAGGGAAAGAAAACCCATAGTAACGAAAGAACATTACAGAGGCAGCAGAAAATGCTACAAATGTGGTGAAAATGGTCATATTGCGACAACATGTTCGAAAGGAGTTAAGTGTTACAAATGTCATTCATACGGCCATATTTCGTCGAACTGCAGAGCTGCATTTGTCGAAAGAAATTCAAATACGATTGGGAATGATAATAAGTGCATCTCAATCACTTCACCTACGACGGGAGCGGAAGACCGACCGGAACGACGATCAATGTGTGTGAACGGTGTGAACATAGACGCGAACATAGAAAATGGCGACGTGCGTAGTGGCAGCAATGTTGACAGTGGTGACAGATGTCATTCGCTCGGGAACTGTCAATTTGAAACCGTCATGAATACGAAGCGAAATAGTTCAATCAAAACATTGGAGATAAATGGCGTAATAATCGAATGTTTAATTGATTCGGGGAGTGACGTAAATCTGGTGTCGGCAGATGTATTTTTCGAACTAAATGTGAGTGCCTATAATAAAGAAAAGATAGTGTTGCACGGACTGGGATTGTCGACTGTTTACTCTATAGGAAAATTTCAAACAGTACTAAAAATTGATGATTGTTATTTTGAATTATTGTTTTATATTGTACCAACAAATGCAATGCCTTACAAAGTGATCCTAGGTCGACCATTTTTGGAAAATGCGGTAGTTATTTTCGATAAAGGTGTGGTAAATGTAGTTTCGAGGAATGTGCATTGTTTGTTTACAGATGACAAACCGGTTAGTTATGTACCAAATCCTCAGATTATGGAGACAGCTCAGCTTATAGTGGATCAATATAAGCCCTTACAAACCAAGGAGGCACCATTTGAAATGCAGATTATCCTGAACGACGATGTGCCGGTGGCACAGCGGCCGCGTAGACTAGCCTATAAGGAACAAGAAGCAGTTGATAAACAAATTGGTGAGTGGTTACAAAATGGTATTATTAAACCTAGCTTTTCAGAGTATGCAAGCCCATTAGTATTAGTTAGAAAAAAAGATGGTAGTATAAGAGTCTGTGTTGATTACCGTAAAATAAATAAAAAAATTGTTAGGGATGAGTTTCCTCTACCAATCATTGAAGATCATTTAGATAAGCTTTCTGGATACACGATTTTTAGTAAATTGGATCTCAAAGACGCTTTTTTTCATCTCAAAATAAATAGTAACTGTACAAAGTATACATCTTTTGTGACACAGAATGGTCAATATGAGTTTATGAGAGCACCTTTTGGTTTGTCCATATGTCCGAATTATTTCACACGTTTTATCACTATTATTTTCAGAGAGCTTATAGCAAAGGGGTTTCTATTAATTTTTATTGACGACTTAATAATATTATCAAACACATATGATGAAGCCATAGATCGACTTCGTGAAGTTTTAAAATTAGCTTCTGAATATGGATTACATATAAATTGGAGAAAAAGTGACTTATTGACTAAAAAGGTGGAATATCTTGGTTATGAAATTGAAAATGGAGAAATAAAACCGTGTAGAGACAAAGTTGAAGCAGTTTTAAAGTATCCGCAACCTAAGTCGGTAAAACAGATTCAAAGTTTCATTGGATTGACATCCTATTTTAGAAAATTTATTGAAGGGTATGCTTCTATAGCACGACCATTAACAGACTTATTAAAGAAGAATAATGATTTTATTTTCAGTGAAAAACAGGAGATTGCATTCAAATTGTTAAAGAAGTTGTTGTCTGAAAATCCAGTATTAAAATTATATAACCCAGGACTCGATACCGAATTGCATACAGATGCATCTATCATGGCTTATTCAGCAATATTATTTCAAAAGGATTCTAATGATGGGAGTTTACACCCTGTGTACTACCTAAGTCGTAAAACCTCAGATGCAGAGCAGAAATACACAAGTTATGAGCTGGAGGCATTAGCCATAATAGAGGGTGTTAAAAAATTCAGGAAATATTTACTTGGCATAAAATTTAAGATTGTTACTGATTGCTTAGCATTTGAAATGACATTAAAAAAGAAGGATTTATCAACTAGAGTTGCAAGATGGGTATTGTTATTACAAGAGTATGATTATGAGGTGGAGCATAGAAAAGGGAATCAGATGCGGCATGTTGATGCTCTTAGTCGCAATCCTTACGTTACTGTTGTTACCAGAGGGTTACATGATCAAATCAGGAGAGCACAGGAACTAGATGAGGGTATAAAGGCGATTTCAGATATAATTAAGGAGAGGCCTTACAAAGATTATTATGAACAGAATGGAATCATATACAAGGGTAATCAAGGACAAATACTTATTCCCAAGGGATTAGAAATGGAAATTATTAAAACAATTCACTCGAATGGTCATTTTGGCAAGAAAAAGATGTTAGAAATGTTAAATGTAGATTATTATATAAAAGATTTATCTTCTAAAATAGATAACTTCCTTGTAACCTGCGTACCATGTTTGTTGGCAACGAAGAAAGAAGGAAAACAAGAAGGTTTTCTTAATTCCATAGAGAAGGGCATTATCCCACTTAGTACATTGCATATTGATCACATAGGACCACTCTCAGAGACTTCAAAATTGTATAATTATATTTTAACAATTGTAGACGCATTTACAAAGTTTGTTTGGCTCTTTCCAGTGAAGACAACTACTACTAAGGAGACATTAAGTAAGTTACTTATTCATCAGCAGACTTTTGGAAACCCAGATCGAATTATATCAGATAGAGGAACGGCTTTTACTAGCAAGGAGTTTGATGACTATTGTAAAGATGAGAATATCCAACATATTGTTATCACCACTGGAGTACCCAGAGGAAATGGGCAGGTAGAAAGGATTCATCGTACTTTGGTGTCAGTCTTAACGAAACTGTGCATAGAGGATAAAAGTCAGTGGTATAAGCATGTGAGTAGAGTTCAAAGGGCTCTAAATAGTACTTATCAAAGAAGTATAGGAACCAGTCCTTATGAGTTAATGGTGGGTGTAAAAATGAAACAAAAAGAGGATTTAAATATTTTTAGTTTATTACTAGAAGAAAGTAGAGACGAATTTGTGACAAATAGAGAAGAAACGAGAGAACAGGCTAAGATACAAATTTTAAAAGTACAAGATGAAAATCGGCGAAATTATAACAAAAAACGCAAGGAAAGCCTTAAACATAATATTGGTGACTATGTAGTAATCAAGAGAACCCAATTTGGTACTAATATGAAATTAAAGCAAAGGTATTTAGGACCTTATAAAGTTGTTAAAGTCAATGGCAGAGACCGCTATGATGTACTGAAGGTCGATATTGCTTCTGAGGGACCTATGAGGACGTCCACTTCAGCAGACTATATGAAGAGGTGGCCAGAGGTTAGTTCTTGAAACTCATTTACTTACCAAATTATTGTAATTTTCCAATTAAGTTGATGGCTGACCTTGTGAGGCATTAGTATTAGCTTATGGTGAAGATAAAGGATTATTTGATTGTACCTATTTTAGTACTTAGTTTATATTGTATTTGATTATAGGAGTATAGGTACTGTACCAGTTGTATTTTTTTCTTTGTGTATTATTATTATTTTTTGTACTGTGTAATATGTTAAAGTTGTGTAACTATGTTATAAGAAGGGTCATGTTTTAATTTAAGGTGTTTAGTTGTATTTTCATTCTATATTTTGCTTTAGTGTGTAGTAGGTGTGTATGAAAAGAGTGTGTTAGAAGAATTGTAGAGTGAAAGACGGACCCTGAGGTCAGGCTCCAATGCAGGATGGCCGAGTTGTAGGATTTGAAACTTGGCGGTATGAACGAATGGGAACGAATGAGTATGAATGAATGGAAACAGAGGAGCAAATGGATAGAAACGAAAGAGTGAATGGATGGAGAAAGGAATGAATGGAAAAAGAGGATGGGCATCGCTCTCTTCCTCGTAGACTGCCATATAGTTAGGTCGTTTCATGTATCATAGTAAATGTTTTTTTTTTGTAATTTAAATAAAAGGAGTTCTATAAAATAATCATCCTGTTATTCGCGAATCCTCATTCCCACATTCATAAAAATTAAGAACCTATTTCTCACTATACTAAAATTTAAACACCCATTTTGTAAAATTCTAATAAAAAGGCTAACCTACAAAGACTTATTTAAAAATGTCACAATACTTCAATATATATTGAGATAGTTATATAGCCAAATCTCTGTACTTTTTATATGGGTGTTTGATGGTAACATATGGGACCCCTAATTCAAAGTCATTTCTAGGCCAATATTTGAGTTGCGGCTTTTGTTCTGGTCTCTCGTCTGACACATTGAAATATGCAAACAGAACTAGTGCAGTATAGCTAGCAATGAATATAAGAACATGCCAGACACCATGCATGTATGGAAAGTCGATGGAGAGCCAGGCGTCACAAAATAGTCGGTCCATAATCCAGCAGAACATAGCCAGGAAACAAACGGCCACGCACCGCAACCCCAAGCGGTATACACGTGCACATTTCACCCTGGAAATACATAATTATTATAATAACATTATATTGGAAAGCAAATATATTCGGAATAATAATAATAATCATGCTGCTTGAAGTTTGAACAAATTTTATACCACTTACATTTTTGGGATTTTAAACTATCTATAACCACAAATTCATAGTCGGTAGGTCGATAGTTTAAGAAAGTTCTGTACACTAAGTATGTTCATCATTTTAATACCTCAGTAATCTAGTGCCTTAGGTCACTAACTTATGGTCGCGAATTTGATCTTCGCATAATACGAACATATGTTTAGACAATTTTTTGTTTTATAAAGTGACTACAATAAATAGCTTACCTGTTCAACTCCTTATACAAGAACCCTATGGCAGGCAAAGCCAGTGTCATTAGCGCGAAAGCATTGGCAGCCGGGTGCATGACAAGGAAACCGGTTGATACAACTGAGAATACACTGGAGTATAATGCTAGCACCCTCCTGAAAAATTAAAAAATTGGATCACCGAAAATATTTTTTATTGCACATGGAGCAAACGAGTTTTCGAGTCAATTGAAGGCAAGTGCGAACTAGTAAGCGATTACAGCCGTACGAAGATAGGTAGGAGAAGGAGAGAAAAGGATAGGAGGGAGATTTTGGAGATTAATATTTAAATAGGTATATGAAATGAAATCTCTAAAATGTTACTGTAGACAATTTGTTTACGTATTGTTTACGTATGATAACGGTAACCTTTTGCGTTAATGAAATGATATAACGCTGGCTACATTTGCAATATTTAAAATGAATTAAGCATTTTTTGAGTTTTTCAAGCATTACATCCCGCGGCACTGGCCATGTGAGTTCTGACAAAAATATCATGACAAATAATCTAGGATACCACCGGTCTACATAAATAGCAAATTTCATAGTAATCTGTTCCGTGGTGTATGTGTCATAAATTTCAATTTATTCTATACATAATATTCATAGAAATACAGATAGACATGTTGTTGACACTATGCTCAATAAATTTGAATGAGAACAATAAATACTATTGTTTCATTAAGACATACTCTGTAATACAAAGACATTAATGATTGTGAGGTTCAAGATAATGTGCTAATATTGTTATCACCATAAAGAACAAAAACCTGTACTTGTTGATTTTTGTATGATTCATCTTACTTATTCATTGTTGTGTTTTGATCAGAAAGGAAGCAATGACCTTTTGTATAATACTGAAATGGCAAAAAACAGATAATCTAACATATAGTATAACATAATATACAGATGTTATAATGATACAATATTACTATTTTTCCTTTTATAATTTGAGAAACCTATATATCAAATAACATATTTATATTAATTTTCTATAAAATAGACTGACTTTTAATGTTATAAGTACTTATAATATTCAAAGTATTTACTTAAATATTTATTTAATTTCTAAGCTCTGTTTTGGTTGAAGAATGAGAAGGAGGGTTAGAAAAAAGGTTATTACAGTGAAATTACAGGATGCATGCAAAGCAAAATACCTTAGTTTGTCGAAATGGCAACATGTGAGAGGTATGTAGTGGTATATCTCAGATGTCACATGATAATGTGATGTATATAGTGCGGTTCACATATAAGTGGCTTAGCATCTGGTGACTGGTGGCCATCAATTACATAAAAAAAATTCATAAATCAGTATTACTTACCTGTTTCCACCCAAAAAATTGGGAAAATATCTCTTTGGAAAAAACATTGCAAATGCCACCATGAAAACCCACAAAATGGCCAACTCATCTAGTAATTGACCTGAAATAAAAATATTTTAATATAAAATACATAGTTATAAAAAAATAATAGTATATAATTATAAAATGAATCATTCTTCTACTATAGCTATAAATATGATGTTATTTATGTTAAACAAAGTCACTGAAATAATTGGATGTGCATAAATAAAATATTAGGCATAACATTATTATAAGAACATAATATGCCATTAAAGTTTTAAGTGTTTGATTAACTGAAAATGTGTCTAGACTGTTATAATAAAAAAAAATATATTTTTTTAAATATGTATAATATTTAAAACAAAGGAATCCTACATAAAGTTGAGATCAAAATTAGAAATGTGATCTTACCAACTAAACTAAGTGTGGCATGAAAATAGGCGGAGCTAAGGCCAACCAACATCAATAATACCCATAGTACATTTATTGCAGGATTGACAACCCTTGCATACTCTTGGAATAGATGTATTAGTACTGGTGGGAATAGAAAGAATAGCACATTGCTGATCTGAAAAAAAAAAGACATGTTTATGATATTTATGAAACTAATAATAATTATTTAAGTATTTAATAATATACATCACATACACATGTAAAGATTATTTACCATGATAATATTATTTATGAGTTTTCAATGTTTTGATATTAATGAAAATATTGTGGTAAAACATTAAATATTATGGTAATTTACAATTTAAATTATGGTAAATATTCCATTTAAATAGGATGTAAAATCATCTGCATTTGTGAAAAAACAAATACAACAGCTTAGATACAGTTAAATAGGTATTGTTATGTTATAAGCATTAATATGCAACAATTTTGTAATGTGTTTTACATAAACAATTCATTTTAACATAATAATTAGCAGTAATTTTATGTGCATATATATAGTTTGATTAAGCAGAAAATAATAGTAAATGAATATGATACAAATACTATCTTTGTCAATCATGTTTTTAAGTAAAGATTGACAACAGAACTTTATCTGCCCCCAATCATTTTGAGCAGTAGACTTCTATTGTTCTTCAGGCTGAAAGGGAACCTCAATGGTAAATTTATAAAAGTTAGTTAGTTTAGTTATTAACTAAAGGATTTTAATAACATATTCCAATTTATATGTAATAAAACGAATGATATGAAACAGAATAGAAAATATCCCTATTAACTAACAAATAACTAATACAATATTATAAGATCAAGGAGAACTATTTTTATACATGCTGATAATTGTTACAACAACAATATTTTCAGTCAGTATGTAGCCTCATTTCCAAACAAAGAAAAAGTCACATATGTACCTTTGTATATACAATACTTACAGTGTTTACAAATTCTGCAATCACTGGGGATATGGAGTAATTTGATTCACACCAATCCACTGGAGAACTCCCTCGTTCCAAATGCGACCACATTGTGATTTCCTTTGTTTACGACGAAAGAAAAAAATTAAAAACAATATGCGTGGACAGTATCTGCTTTAAGACAACTTGCTTTAATTGGAGTTTATAATCGTCAGGCAGCCTTTAATTTTGATAGTTAAATAGTCCAGACCAATACACTTTGATTCTATTTGAACACTTTTGATTTTAGACCACAATAAAAGTTAAAAACAATTAACCGTAACATAAAAACAAACAAAACAACTATAGTGTAACGCAATACAATTGCGATTGAACAAGATTTTGACATAATTATAGTAGGGTTGCAAAGGTTTAACACATCTTACCTCGTGCAAAGTAAAAAATCACATATGGGCTTAATTTTGTCTCCAATATTATCTTATTTGTCCTCCATCTTTATATTATGTTATTATTGTGTTGTGTTCCTCTATTTTAATGATATTATTGTAATGTTTTATTACTCCTATTATTTGCGTAATTATTAATTTTTTACGGAACCTGAATTTTAGGGTAACTTTAGACAAAATCAAAGTGATCATATGGCAACATTGATTTTTCGCTTATCTTTGTATAAATGATGCCATATTTGTTTAGATTTTCCCCATAAAATTGACGGATTTTGTAATAACGTGGATATATGGACGATACCCATTACTTACTTCCAAAGTTTACAGTTATGCGATAGCAAAGTAACTCTGGTATACTTATTAATTGTATACCGGAGTTAATAGCGAAGATGCGGTCCCTATCAACTTCTTCGTGTTTGTAATATTTTTATCACATGAGAGTGGGTGGGCACTCACAGGACGATTATATAAATGTTTATTTGAAGGAAGCTGAGAATATATATTTTTTTTATTACTAAACGATATATTCTAATGCTGTTGGACGCAGTTGGCCTTTACAGCTTTACTAAACGATATGACGTCGAGTGCAGATTGCAAAACAAACCACATAGACACAGACAGAATGACAATACACCAAGGCATGGGCATATAGATATGTAATTAACATTTTAAAATGATTAGGTATTATGTTCACAAATTAGCTGTCTAATCACAATACATTGTGTGGAAAAATTTTAAGTTTGCACATATGTAAGAATGTCTTTTACATCATATCACATACCTACAAATGATGCACGTAAGTATAAATTATTATCAACCAACTTCAAAAAGACGTGTCATCTTCGCTATTTCTGGACCAATAATAATTAAACAATAGCCTTATACTTACTTGTTCAATATAATTTATTATATTGTAAAGGATTACATAGGACACGAGTATATTATTAATTATTCATGCACTGAATTTTAAAGTCATTGAGTAAAATGAATAATTACATAAGTATTATAGGAACATTCAATAAATTTAAAAGACGTTATCACACCTACTTAAAAAAAATAAATTAATATTCCCATTGAGTTTCTTGAAAGTTCTCGTCCGAAATAGCCTTCTGAACGGACTATACCTACGGTTAAAAACATTTATAAGAGAATTACTATCAGTAATTCTCTTATAAATGTTTTCCCTACCTAATGAAATTGGGTTTTAGTAAAATAATAATATTATTATATATAATAAGTACAATATTTATGGGCATATAGAAATGGACGAATACTCACGGGCTATACCAGAACTGGCTACTAATAATATAAATATGGAATATGTAGATTATTGGCTCAATCTAACTGTTGAAAAGGAAATCAACCGTGGCGCTAGACTTGCAGAGGAAAAGTTAAGACTATATCCGCTATCACAAGACGAATGTGGTATTAATATCGATTTTATCAAGCCCATCCCCACATGTTCTAAGATTAAAAGATATTGCAGGTTTGGTCATTAGAAACATATTACTACCAGTTATAATTGTATAATGTTATTATTATTTAATATTTCAATTTATACAATGAGGTAAGGTATCTTTTAGCTTTAATATTATGCAAAGAGTTGTATATACATATATCTAAGTAGGTAGTTTTACTTCTAACGTGGAGTAATTCCACTAAACCGTTAAAACTACCTCGTTATTTTTCCTAGCCAATGTATTTGTATATCTACTAAATTGACTTGAAATAAAATGTAATTTACTTCATACAAAAGGAGATTGTAGATATACATAGGTATATAGCTAGGTTACAATAAAAAATGTAATATATCTACCTACATACGAGAAAGTGATGAGGGTTTGCATATTGGCGGAGTCATAAAATCGCGAGTTTATAGGTACCTATGACTAAACTATTTATGTCATCAAACAACTATCTTACATGTTCTGTTTTGGATAACATAACATAACATGAGTTCAATAACAGGCATGGAATGAAAGTTTGGACGTATTTCATAACTGGTAGTCATATCTGTGTATCTTTATATGTGGTTTTTCTTAAGGAAATGGTCATTTAATTACACTTTTCATCAGGACAGCCGATAGTTTGTATGTCATTCCAAATTTCTATAGGTTCATTTATAGAAATTAACATTTATATTAGCCCCACGCAACGTAACGGATTAGGGGAATACTAATCAAATCTATCATCATCAAATACAGTCACAGAAAGTGTTCGCAAAGACAGTACACCGACGTCAGACTACACTCTTGCAATCGACGACAAAATTCACTTTATTTTGAACCAAATTCATGTACACCTCAAAGTTGTTATTCTAAGCAAAATATTGCGAAATTACGGCCAAGAATACCAAGATGCCCGATGAGAGTAGCAGAGTTAGCTGTTCCGACAAAGCGACAATGTATCGATACGTGGAGGAACAAATGCGACGTGCTCCCTGAATTTATGGTAATATTTTCTTTTAATTTACACTTTATATAATTAACGTAGGTACCCATTATCGATACTTCGAAATAGGTAATCGAACCTTTATTTATATCTCTGCGCCAATGACATACGTTGACGGGGTACTCGTAGGAGATGACATGACGAGCACGAAGCCAGGACATTTACCCCGTCTGGCGAGTTCACCAGTATTTAACCACGATGTCTTCCAGGAATGCCGCGTGGACTTTGCCCTAGTGTACATAGTAGTGCTATAGGAATATTGTATCACTTGTAAAACTCAGCCGAAATTTCAGGTAGAAAGACTTAAACAACAAGTTATGGACGAAAAACCGGTGGTTAAAATTTCGGACGCGTTAACTTGCTTCAAAAATCGAAAATCTCCATTTAACAGGTTACATATCCATTTTTCTACACTATAATTGGTAGGCACTATAAATATTGATGTCAGCTTTGTAAACTATTTTATTTATTAGCTCACAGTCATCAGGTTAGACACATACGTACCTATATAGTATTAGTGATGAAGGTCATAGGCGACTTTTGTCCTAATACGGTAATAGAGAATTCTCTAAATGATTAGCATAAACTACTAATTCATTAGATAAAATTACGTATTAAAATAATAAAATAGCGTCATTACTCAGTGGTAATAATCCCGACTTGCGTAGAAAGGTCATCAATGAATCTGGCCAACACCAAAAATTTCGTGCGTCAATTTAAAGCGACTAACTCTACAGTGATGAAGACACCATAACTCACATTTTTTTAATTGTTCACATTGTATAAACTTGATATTAAATATGATAATGTAAGATATTCCTCATTGTAAATTTGTTAAAATTAATATGTTTGCCATTGTCTATGAAATATTTGAAAGTTATCTAAGTTGTATGGTTCGCATTTTGAATAGTCTAATGTCTGTACATAAATACAACATTGTAGACTTTAATAACTTACAATAGTTCATAACAAGTTTACATTATGAGAACCAGTGCTCTTATTCGTGTGACACTATCATGGTAAATATATTGTTTATATAATATGTAATTGTAAACGATTGTGAAATAAGTTTAAAGCAACCATTAATTTTCATACACTCTCATTAGCCACCGTATTTAAATTATTTATCTGTTTCAATCAGATCCCGATTAAAGACATGCACAATTGCAGCAATGAATCTTCGAAACGAAGATTTCCGAAAATATAGTGCTACGTTTAGTCACAAAATAGCACAGAAACTTAACATTCCCTTTAATATAACGTTAAATCCTCAGTGAGTATCTAAGAACAGAAAATAATTTAATAGCCAATTCTACTATATCATTATATTATTATACAACGACCATATAAGTATGATATCATTCCATATTGTACACACTATGGTACACTATGTAAAAATCCCACATTACGTTGTTTGTCCGCGATAGATTCCGAAACTACTTGCCTAACCAGCTTTTATTAAATTTGACTCATCTTTACATAGTTCCAAACAAAGTCGCCGCCGCTAACTGTTCATTGAACTGAACAGTAACAACAGAACGCAATCTTTTAAATTACGCAACGGATTTCTTCGCAGTTCTCAGCAATAGACAGAGTGATTATAGAGGAAGGTTTAGTAAATGCAAAGTATAGGCTAGTATACGACAAGCCGAGATTTTCATAGATACGTGCGAAGCTGGGTCGCAGGTTGTGTATAATTCAGACCGTTCGATCACTTGGATCAGGTATTTCGTCATACCAGAAAATATCCAGCGATGTTACTCAATAAATGCCTCTTCTAGATTGGAAAAAATCTCAAACGTTGTCTCAAGTGATATTTCCAGATTAACTAAACATCAAAAGAAAATCAACACGAAAAATGCTAAAAACAAAAAAATACAAATCGAAATGTCGAGTAAGGTAAGACTCATTATTATTTTGCAATGGATATGGCTTGATCGAATTTTATATTACTGGATAAAATATTAACTACCTAAATGGCAAAAGACCTTGGACCACGAGAGATAATAACTGTAATGTCCGCAATTGCCAGTTGGGATCTACCGTAAACGTTGCCATTTCCGCGATATACTCCCCGATCAATCCCTCTATTCAAAGAGAGATCCAAATTATGGCGGCCGGAGCCGAAGTTCGAACCAGCTATTCGAACTGTTTTACAAAGTGGAGTCCAATTTAAGTATATATTTTTAACGACCATCAGTTTTGGTACAATTATTGATAATTAGATAATAGTAGAACTGAAGCAGACACTGAAACAGAATTTCGACATCCATTTTTGTTTCGCCTGAAAGCCTAAATATTCTAACAACTAATTACATACGTTTCGTACTATCTACATATAATACATTTATTCAATTCGTAATACACAAGAAACCTAAATTGGATACACTAATTTCCATTAAAAATACCCTTTTTCTTTTCAATTGTTTCATTGTATCGTAATTATTTGATATAGGTACTTTGTTCTAGATTGCAGCTTGGATCGCTAATATTGTTGAGGAATCATCTTATAAGATGATAGAAGCAGACTTAAGAGGTGACAAATTTTATCGCATGCAATTAATAACATATTGATAATCTTAATAAATAATATATTAGTAAATATACCTATATATTTTAGAATTAGAAGAGGAGGAAGGTCCCGTATTGGATTTTATTGACAGTTTGGTACACAACGTTGTGGTGAGTCCTTTAATTTAGGTAACTTTATCGTAATTCTAGACAGGATCTAGTAGGTATAGTTGTTTTGGTTGCATGTATGCTATGTTTTATAATTAAATAAAACACCAAAGATAATAAGTGGATAACACTTATATGAATATAAGTGATTTTTTTTTTTTTAGGGTTGATAATGGAATGGTGCACCCGCCTGCGCTAACGGTTTACGCTGGCGGGGCACCAGTGGAGGATGATAGGATGAGCATGAGGTCAGGTCAGTTAGCCCATCGTGCAAATTCACCAGGAATTTAACACGATGGTTTCCAGGGGGAACCGCGTGGAGGTCGACCTGACATGGTACATTGCTAGCAATGGGGTTATCAATCCACATTACTAACAATCCCCTTCCCCCCCCCCCAATATAAGTGATTAAAAACATCTAGTCTAACTAGTTCAAAACCAGATCTCTGTCTCATACTTTTCCGATACTATATTTTTTTATAGCTATGTAGGGTAAGTTAAAGTTGTAAAAGTACAGACTGCATAAAATTGTAATAGAGCAAGAGCCCACGACTGTATACACCGTTGTTACCCAATATACGATTTCAACGAGTCTGGTAGGATAAGGAACCAAGAAAACTGTCTGGCAATATAGGAAACTCAGTTTAATAGTTCTCTCAATAATATATATAAAGTTCAGCTTTATTAAAATGACGTAAGTTTATTTCTAAAATAGTATAGTTTAGGGGGGTCCGGTGGGGGGGTTGGAACCACACTAAGTGTCTGGCAATGAGCAGCGCAAGTTATAATAATGCTACGAACAATATATGAAAATATGGAGTTTCTTAAAATAACGAATTTGATATGAAATTTTTTACACCTTTGTTACCTGTTACTTGCCAAAGGAACCACGATCCAGGTTTCATGTTTGGGGATAGTTCTTACCTGTGTTGGGGACACACATACAAGAACTTTCACATTTAATAAAATGACGTATGTCTGGCAGTCGTGGGCTCTTGGGCTATAACGTAATATCTCGTGAAGATCTCTCCCCCAGGTAGGTTTCTTGTAAATGCTCAAGAAGTTATTTCCCAGTTCTTTTTTATCACGTTTTATTGACTTTGCAGAGTATTTGTGAAGATTTTTCAGAGAAGGACGATCTACATCCTGCACTATATACAAATATTGCTTCGCCGGTTTCACATCGGAGGTCTGGGTCAGTAACAGGAGAGTCCGAGAAAGTAATGGAAAGAAACGACTCTATACAGACGACATCTGGCGAAATGGAAAGTAACGTTGAATCGTCATATCATAATAAAATTGAAGACAATCTAGAATTGGATAGTAACGAAGAATATATATTAGAAGAATTAGAAAGAATTGTTGTCAGCGTTACAATCACTGCACAGCCAGATAAACAAAATACGATAGCCGACATGATAAAGACAGAAGACTATTTAGTTGTGGATAAAATGTCGCGACAATCCATAGATAGTACAAGCTCGTATGTACAATTTAAGCAGTCAAATAATTCTCAAGGCTTTGTTAAAGAATATCAGGAATTCAGCGAGAATTCTAAAGATGCAGATAACAATTTTAGTGCTAATCAAGAAAATGATAATGTGAGTGAACTATTTCAGATACATTCTGAAGAGTCACCTGACGTTAAGAGTAGAAAAATAAACTTTTTACAATTAATTGCTAATAAGGGTAATTCACAATTTATTTTGTTTTTTTTTTCATCAGCTTTTTATCAAATCATAACACGTTTCCACATACATTCTTACGTTTAATATAAATATAATTATTTTTTAGTGACCGAGGAATTGAGAAACCCAGACGATATTCGGTATGTAAATGTTTTGCCTAAGTGTAAAGATGAATTAGTATAATTTTATTTTGTATTACTTTATGAATTTCAGCAGAAAAGCAGGAACTCAAAAAACAGAGCAAGTATCATGGAAATTACCAATTAAATTTGCAGCTCCAAATGAAAATTTATTGAGCAAGTATCTAAATTATATATATATTTTTCATATTAATATATTTATAATTTAATGTAAATTTAATAAGACTAGATAACTATATTTATATTCTCTATAATATGTAGGTAATGCTGATGAATCATGGCCAACAGATATTTCTACACCAACACTAAAGGCCAGTGAAAGTGTAAGCAAATCTATAACATCACTGGGAAAAATAATAGAAAACGATGAACAACTATTATATCAAGAAGATATCGCTAAACAGATTATAGATGAATTAGAAGAAACACTAAACTCGGAAAATACCAAAACGAGTAATGATAATACGACAAAGGAAAAAATTTCCTCTGAGAATAATTTACGATATGAAAAAGATAACAACACGAACGTAGTTCCGGAAAATGAGACAAGAATGCCTGAATTGGAAATCACCAAAAGTAATATGTCTGAATACACTCGGAATACAACGGCTGCCACTCCAAAAACAATGATTAGTACAAATAATAATAACTACACAAATCAAATTAATTTGATGTTTATGCCAGTAACACAACCTATTTCTAAAAAACCTTCAGTTAAAATTCTAATAGATGAATATAATTTAAATAAAAATAAAGATACAGCTGGTGAAAAAAATGTGATTCTTGGAACTGTTCAAAATAAATTGAATTTGGCTCATGGAATACAGGAAGCCAAATTTCAATACAGTAAGTGTAAATGTATTATGTTTATGTGTCGCAGGGGCATTTGAAATTGGTTTATAAGAGCCGTATACTACGTAGATAGGTATATAAGGTACTTATTACATAATAAGATTACATCTGTATAATTTGTCACGACTATGATCTTACGATCATAATATGATAAGTAAGACGTTATGAATTAAAGTATTTGATTTTGTAACTGTTATGAGTGAGTGAAAATTAGTGTAGGAAATCCATTTTGTCTATAACAATAAGGTACATAATAAATATTTGTTTTTAAACTTGCAAGGAGTTAATCCCTACACAGCACCGCCTTGGGTATGGCAAGACCATGGAAAGGGCGAACCAAGCGAAAACTCTTTTAACTATGAAAGCAGAGGTTTGTCAAAATACATGTCTAATAATATATACAGAGTATAAAATGGTATCACCAGGTTCAGTCTTGTACAATTTTACACATTCGCTTATTTTAATAAAAATATGGGAAATAGTATTCAGTCAATGTCACTAATGGTTAATGTTAGGTAACTGTGTCCCATAGTCAACTAACCTCTGACCACGACATTATACTCAATACTAAATGTGACAAACAGTAGGTATTGCCTAAGTCCGAAATTTGAATCTACATCTCAAATGGAACTTATGCCAAATTTAAAATTAATGAACTCATTGTTATTATTATTAAAAAAAAAAGTTAAAATTGCGTTTCTAATTACAATCCGCCTGAACGAATGCATTATATATTAAATTTTGTGTAAAGCTATTTCTAAAATTGAAAGCAATTTCAAAGAAAATTAAAAGTTTAATTTGTAATTCGTAGTATAGAAATTAAACATTTCTATTTGAAATAGGTTTAAATATCCCTGTCAATGAATATAAAGAAGCACCTAAAAATTACATATATGTTTGGTTCCATTCTGGGAATATTATATTATTTAATTACCTAAAACTGTATTTAATACCTAACATATATTAGCTTTAGTACAAGCTCGGTATCAAATCTTAGGCGGATTATACATTCGTTTAAAAAAATATATACCTGTTACAGCGAAACTACAAATGAAGGAATGCGATATACGAAAATGGAATAAAGATTTGAAGGCAATAAATGCTAATCTGGATTTATGGCATGTTTGGTTGCAGACAGCCTGCAAAAATATAATATGGTTAAAAAAGTATTCAGGTTGGTAGAAAGGTTGTATTTAAACATATACTTTTTTTAAAATATTCTAATGCTTTTTTAAGCCACAGTTGCAAAATTATACTGTGTCTCTCAAACCATGATGTTGGCAAAATCCGATCAAAATTGAGTGCGGTCATTTAAAAGAAAGAAGAAATGCTGTTCACCGCAGCTGGCCTTTATAAAAAAAAGCTTTACTAAAAAAGAAATGTTTCAGAAATGAACAAGTTATGTTCTCCGGGTATCATCAAAGAAAATACAAGAAATTGGGTTAATCTGAAAAAAGATATGGATAAAGATATAATTATATGGCCAACATTAAATAAACAAACTCAAAAAAGACTTAAAACATACAAAACTACCTATGAAAAATACGGAAAACAGGTAGATACCATTTTATAAACTATTTTAAACTAGGTACCAATGAGGTAGATGAACTACCTGTAACGCATTTAGGACTGTCGGTACAGTACAGTTCATGGGGTACAAAATTATTGTTGCCTTTATAATTAAAGTCTTGCCGTAATTTTACACGTGTAAACTATTTCTGCATACTATCACAAATCCAGCAGTAAATTTTTAGGATACATTTTAATTTTATCCAAATATACATACATTTGTTTATCTTAGCCAGACAAAGCACTATAAAGTGGATTAGGTACATCCCAAAATGTCAGTTGCAATTTAGTGCACTAAAATATTAAGTCAAGTAAAAACAAATCCTCACAATGTATTAAAAAAAGCATTCCAGACTGCATGCAATTCTTCTTTTATTTTATTGTATTGTGTTTAACAATGCAATTAAAGATTTATATATTATTATTTTGTTGTTTTAGATACTGTCAGTAGAACAAAATGTATTGAAATGCAGTTGCAAGAAACGAAGAATGTGATTAAATGAGTTGATTAAAAATAACGCTTACCAGCTTATACCTACAGGCTTCAAAAATCATTCATGTCTGTAATTAAACCTGTATATATTTTGAGTCTCTGAAAACGTCCCATGTAAATGAATTCCATACCAAATGTAACAAACTGTTGCAGAGGTTCATGTCCACATAATTCATAATTGGCTAGGTAATTATGAGGTGATACTGTATCTATTTTTGAAAAATAGTCATATCACTATATCATAACTATATATAAGAGCACTACATCATACATATATTTGAAGCGACATCAATCCTAAAATAATTCATGTAGTTGCACCTCACACTAAACTAGATCTATTCCAATTCATTTCAGGGCAAATGAAGAAATGAAATTGAATACCTAACTAGTCTTTTATATTTATCTATATATATTTTAGGATAAATATTGTTCTATACAATTTAAATATAAATTAATAATATAAAAGTTAAAAATATAAATTGTCACGAAAACATATTTGATACAACTGAGATTCGAATTCACCTTTAGATAGATCTGAGACGTTTTGCTAACCACTAAACCAGAACAGTACTCTAGAATAGAAAATAAAATAGAATTTTATTTGAAATAGATCTCTTTACTTTAGAATAATAACGCGCGATAATTTTCCAAAGTGGTAATTAAATAGGTACACTATTTCAACAATAGTACTAGATTAGACTATATTAATTTTAAAATTATATATGAACTATTATTTTTTAAAATACAAAACTATTATACAATATATAACATATTTATACACTTATGAATTAACATATAATATATATCATTTAAAATGTACAGAAACTTGATTAAAATCATATTTCCGTATAGTACAGTCTCTACACGCCGCTAAAATCCATTTACCATTGAATGCTAAATCTCGAATGCCATCATAATCTGAGCCTGTGAGTTGCACTCTTATACCATTATGCAATTCTCGCTGTATTGACAGAACTGTACAGGTGCCATCTTGTCTACCAACTACAAATAATTGGTTAGATAGCGTCAGTAGGCTAAGAACTGGATTTGCAGATTCATACCACTCATAAATTAATGCGCCATCTTTTAGATTTAGGTGTATGATCTGGAATAAAATATAATAACAATAAAATTAATATTTATGCTCCATAAACCTTACTTGAAATAATTGTAATGATAAATCTATTAATTATGTGATTGTCAATAGTCAAATTAAAACTGTCAAGTTGGATGAATTATCTCACTACAACTAGAGAATACACAAATCATCATACAATTATATAACATAAATAAAATCTATCAAGTCTGATCATGAACTTAGTATTTTCTAATTTGTATAATATAATAAAATCTCTTCTCCCTCCTTCTTAACATGTAACGTAATTTATGAATCCAGCCAAGTTTAAAAGGAGAGTCATGTAACATGACATACAGTACTTTCATAAGTATACTTGGAGGAGTAATTTTAATCCGGTAGTCTAAACTGAGCAAACAATACACTGAATAATTTGTTCCTTGCTATTTACCTTTCCATTACTGCAGCCTATAATGATACTCTTATCAATAACTATACAAGTATTGCACGCTGATTCCAATTGCTTGCAATACAGCTCCTCCCTTTTGGCAACATGTGCACAAACAACAAGTCCACTCTCACAGCCAGCAACCAGCAATTTATTTCCAGTGCCCACCTGTAAAATTATTTAACATTATTTATTACAATGCATGTACATAACAATATAGCATTCCGAGTGCTGATGGGTTTGCAGAGGTTTTGCAGTTACTCCAATATATATGCTGAAGCAAGTGTAGATAGTTTTAATAACATTTTTGGCAAGTGTACTGCTCAATTGAACGTTAGCAGACAATTGGTACTTTATATGAGAAATAAAATTTAGGTATGAGTTAGGAATTTATTCCTATAGTTTGAGTATCTGTGAGAATATACATATTTTATGTATATCTAACCAATATATATGTTGCTGGTAACTTCAAATGAATGAATGAGTGAAGTTTAGTACAAGAATTCATAATTTTTTTTAATGAGTTTATAACATAACAAATCTTAAGAATACCTCTCTTTCATTTTCCACTGCAACTTCATCTGCAGTTGTTCCTAAGTAGCAGCAGTTAATTTGACCATGGCCTTCTATTATATCGTCTAAACAACTTGATTCACCAACATCCCATAACTTTGCTGAACCATCTCTGTAAGAAATTAAGAATACTTTAATAAATAATAAGACAAACAAAATCCTGCTGAACTTCCTTATTTATGACTAGTAATCTGCCACAGCTTTGTACATATTATTATAATATATTATAGAATGTGCCACTCAATAATAATGTAGATGAAAGGCAAACAGGTAAAGAATTTCTAAAATTAGTGCAGCCCATAGTTAATATTCCTTAAACATAACAAAATATAGATTATAAAAGCTTTCTCTTTAATCAAATTAAATCAAAAGTCACTTATTCATGTAGGACATTAGCCGCTTATTAATGTAATTTTTTTTGTATTATAATTTTTTTTTTCTACCATCTAATTCTGTACATCTCTTATTACAGAATTGTTAGAATATTACTTTATTATTATATATTAGGATTACACATTAATATGTAGAAGTAGAAAAAGGAGAGTATAATAATGCATGAAATACATATAGAATTAACCCACCTACACCAAAAAGTTGGTTAACTATGGCTTAAGATGGTACTTAAAATAAACCATTTTCATCAAGCTGTCTCCTTGTCAAAATAGAGAATGTGTGTACAGTCTACATAAATCTATATTAATGTAATAGAATTTATTACATATGTCAATGAAAATATGCCTTATTGACTGTTGTTTAGAAAAAAGTAGATAAATATAACTAGAAAGTCACAGTTAGAAAGAGAATATATATATACAAAGTTCTTACTTGCTAACTGAAATGACATTTCTCCCCTTTTCGATAATACTGATATCTGTAACAGCCATTTTATGGCCCTTCAAAGTCACTGGATTTATGCCTGACTCAGCCGACCAGATCCTGCTGGATCCATCAGCGCCCGCAGATAACACAACAATGCCAGATGAGAAGAACTTACACTTATATACTGGTCCACCATGGCCTTTTAGATCAAGGAAAACTTCACCTGCAAATAATTGATAACAATTAATAACAATAACATTATCTTAAAAATGTATGTATAAATCTGAATAGGTAGATTAACAAATAACAACTATTCAAAAGTGCTTATAGAATAAATTATATAATAATGAATGAAAAATTAAATTAAATAGTATTAATATCAGTTCTACTTTTTAAGTACTCATAGACAAATGAAATTTCTTATTTCACTGAATTAACAATTTTACAATTATGATTTGCACATAAATAAAGAAAAACTTTTTTTATTTACAAATAGTAATGGTTTCACTTACTAGTCCTGCTATCCCACACCAACAGTTTATCACCTTCACAAGCTGATACGACATTGGAATTTTCAGCCACTGCCACAGACAACACAGCTTTGTCATGTACTTTGTGCCCCTTTGTGGGTGCTACAAATGCCACCCTCAGTCCAGAAGGTATATGTTTCACAACTAAACTTAAATTGCTATGTGATATATACTGATAATTGTCAGAGAAACTTATTTTTATTTTTCTATCAGGATTGTTCACAGAAGTAGACAATTTATCATGAACACTATTTTGGTTCAATATTTTGGATGATATCCATGCCTCCCCTTTAGGCAGCCTGTAAATAGAGTAAAAAGTTAGTACATATAATTTATATTAACCTCCTTGAACTACACAATACACATTATTAATTCAATTGCATAACTTTGTCTGCATTTTTAATTGATACATTTATACAACAAGGAGTGATGTTATACAGCTAATTCATAACTTGAAATATTTTTTCAATTCAAAACATGTATGGTTACTGCGATTAGCGCTTTATATCAATATAGATTTTTAAATAGAAATAATAGATCTCTAGTGTGACAAGAAACAACTAACGATGTGCTTAAGTGATAGATTCCTTCACTTTTAGTATTTTAGTTACAAAATTATGTAAAATTAAAAGGAATGTTTTAGAGTATACTAATTCGCAATATGTACCGAATTACATCGTTCCAATCACATTGTATAGTAACTACAGGCATTAAATCCATTGTAATGTATTTATATATATTTTGTCTATTTAACCAAAATTAAAAAAATCGGTATATAATTTCAAAATCAAGAATATTGAAGATGATTCAGTAAAATTCAAATGAATAAAGTCAAAACAAACACTCACTAGGGATGTTAATTTTCGATCACGAAAAAAATCGATTGTTACTCAATACAACAAATCGATTTTACTGTGGCATTTTCATTTTAGAAATGAACCATAGATTGAGTAATAATCTACTTATTTACGAATGATTTTTGAATTAAAGTTATTGTAATGAGTTTTGTAGCCGTGTCATATTTATTGTCCATTGATTGTCAAAATTGATCTATTAATAGCAGTAAAATTTTTGTAAAAGGGTTTTACCCTTTATTTAGTTTTATCTTATCAGTTATCCAAAAAAAGATGAAATAGTGGACCCCATAGAATTAATGGACTATTAAAAATAATTTATTATTTGTGAATAAACGATAAATATTTTAGTCGATTATTGTACTGACACATAAAATCGATTTTTTTAACAGAACATCCCTAACAGTAATTCTCATTGAGTATTGACACTCCACTCAAAACTGACAGTATCAGACATAGAGTACACAGCGAAGATAAGTTTACAGAGGAATAACTTCAGTGATTACTTGCTTAGTAAACAAACAGCCGAAATATATTAACAAAAATGTCTAATCTCCGAGGAGAAAGGTTAAAGTTAATTATAGATGTCGTACTATATTATATATATACATATAAAATATTTGTGGTCGAACTTAAGCGCCTTCATCTTTCGAGGCAATTGAAGTAAAAATACAGACCAACTGAGAATTTTTAAAATTCCGAATTGACATTTGTGTATGCGTTTCCTTCTAACTCAGTGATAATTATATAAAGTCCAATGACAAACATACAAGAATTATTGTTATTTTAATCAGGGTCTGTCTGTGTTTGTATTATTCTTAGGTAGGTTCTAAGATTTATCTGTATTTTTTCTGTGACTTAAGTATTATGAAGATCTGAACGAATCTGACGGATGTGTGACCGTATTCTGATATTCTCTCTAGTTTCTGTGATCTTATTTGTAATTTGATTACTTGTGTGTATTGTTTTGGTTTTGAATTCAATTACAGAGTATTTTCATTCATGTGACCTAAAAAGTGGGCGACTACATAACGCTCAATGATCTACGATATTTATTTATGTGATTGAGAAACATTTGTGAATCTCATTATATGCAGTCCTCAAGGCATGGTAGACTTCCATTAGTTCTGTAAACATGCATTTTTCTATTCCTGATCTGCAGCAGTTCCATGACGACAATGGGATCTCTTACACGGTATATTTTATTTCTTCAGTTTTAATTAATTCATTATTTACAATTACTTTATTATTGATATACGATTTGAATGCAATTCTAACATAGCTACTGTTGTAGGGGTACAATATTTACATTGATGGTTTTTTCCACTGCACCGCTCGCTATAAGCAACTCCTCAGTTTACATGAGCAGTTGCAGGCACAAAATCCGTTCTTCAAATTGCCACAATTCCCGCCGAAAAAATTGTTCCTTACTAGTTCACAGCTGGAAGAGAGAAGAGTTCTATTAGAAAAATATATACAATTAGGTGAGCATATTTTTTTATCATATTTCATTTCATTTATAATATAAACACTTCATACAAAGGATACTGATATGTATATATTGATTTTTTTTTCAGTTGGCCAAAATCCTATTTTAGCAAATTCCGATCTTTTAATTACATTCCTCTTTTCTGCTCAACAAGAAACACATTCTGTGAAAATGCATGAAGTGGATATTGAAATCTCACTAATGAATGGCTATAGAATACCACTTTCAGTATCATCTATAGACTCATCCAGTACAATACTTGATATCTCTTGTAATTACATCAATATGCCAAAAGAATTGACTAAATATTTCTCATTATATCTCATCAATTGGAGTTGTGCGAAAGATGCTCAACCTGCACTTAAAAAGTTAGAAGAATATGAATCTCCGTACATATCGCAAAAGTATGTAAGGCCGGAAGATAAAATTGTTTTGAGGAAATGGTATGTATTATATTGTAGTTGCATAATATATAATGCACATATGACTGTTGAATTTTATTAAAATAAAACAGGGATATTTATTAATATTATTATAAAACATTTATCCTTATGTTTAACAAGAATAAATTAAAAATATTACAGGATATTACTAATTAACATAATATATCAATTTTATAGCAATTTCCTTTAGGCATGTGGTTTCTAGTAATAGTCATAATTCTGTCTCATAAAAAAACTGTCTGATAACTTATATTAATGTGTAAATACATAAATTATAGTACTTTGTATTCTAATGGCACTAAATTTTTATGCACTAATTTTAACTTGTAATATTCTGTCCTCCTGATATTTGATCAACACTATTTAGAGCTAATAAAATTTATAATTATTTTCTACTATTTGCGGCTTTGTGAAGTATGTATAAATATGAGTATCATTATGCTTTTTACTATATTCCTAAAGTATATCTTAATCTGTTGTAATGAAAAAAGTTAGTAATTATTATATTATTTCAGCTATTGGGACCCTTGTTATGATGTTGATCTGATGATAGACCGAGTGTCATTAGACTTATTGTATTTACAAATTATAGAGGACTTAGATTTAGGATGGATCACAGCAGATTTACAAACTAAGGATATTTTATCATCATATGAATCAAAGAAACAGAAGAGAGAGGTATGCACATCCTATAATAACATTATAACTCATTATTTTCAATTATTCTTAAATAGTTTAACAAATTTGTATGATGTTTGGTCAGAGATCATAGCCTAGATTAACATTGTTATTATTGTAATTAGCGCAAGGAGTGCCATAGGTTACTTTATTCAATTATTTAAATTAGCTTGTTATGTTTACTCAAAAAGTAACATTAATGTTATTTTGTTTATTGTTAAAGGTTGTTATACACCTTTATCAACAAAATAGGGTCAGGCGGGTGCATTGGATCTTAAGATTGTTTCAATACTAGATTAACTCTTATCAATGAATGTCTACAAATTATTAAATGAATGAAAGTTTCCGTGTTATGTAATATTTCAAAGACTTCATTCTTAATGATTAGCTGGCCGCTGGCCTATTTGGTTTTTCTGTGATTTATTTGTGTGTTTGTGTTATTGGGAAGTTTTTCATTTAAAATTCGATTATTGCTAAGTTTGACATAACAGAAGAATTCAAACACGTCATAATTGTGTTCTGCATGTGTGTGCATAAATCGTAAATATTGGTGATAAAATAATTCTATTTTGTGATGCAGTAACATAACTACATTGTATGTTGTAATAAAACAATGAAGTGAGTGGGGTTGCCACAGGTTCACCATAATTGGGACCAGTGTTTATTATTTGTATGTATTAACGGGGTCTTAACAGGAATAATTTTATGGTTAATAAAGGTACTTACATCTTTCGACGTTCTGACTATATAGTCACTAGGTTGCACTAGTCATGGTCACAAAGTGACTCAGGGTCAGGTCCTGAAATACTCTTATTTACTATAAAATTATTCGTGTTAAGAGCCAATTAACAATATAAATAATGAGTATTAGACATGTAAGTTTAAAAATGACCTGTGTTCATGTTGTACGGACTTCAATCTTTATAACTGCTTCATCCTGAAATGTTATATTTTGGCCTGATATGTATTTATACCATTAATGATATGATTTCCGCACCTGCAAGAAACGTGTATGTAACGGATCTGTGAACTGTATCGGTGTCTAAGTGCGTATTACATATTTAAAAAATAATAATAATATCAAAGGAGTTTGAGGCGGTCGGTCGCCAACAGTTTGGATGTTTACCTCTCAAGGGTTCTATATTAAGTTCCCCTCTCTATATTATGAAACGAAATGGAACGGCTAGTAATATGACACTCGCAATCACTTTCTATGCCATGGAATGGGATGAAGATGACGGCCAACCCAATACAAAATGATAATTGTCGCCTTCGTCCTTCGTAAGTCCGGTGATGCAGCTGGAGTAACTTAAAAAAATTGAATGTTTTACAAAAAATACATTGTGTCTTGTAAAATGGTGATGTGAATCCATATATTACGGCTGAAATGTAATTTTATTGCTTTATCTCGCATTTATAAATTACCTATCATTAATTTCAGAATACACAACAGAAATCATTTCTAAATATCATTTGAGCAATTTGAATGATATCATTTGATGAAATCATGACTTCATTCTTACTAATCAAATATACGGTTTATGACTAACGTGTGTTTGTCTTAATTCCTTAGAATTTCAATTACAGGCAATGTCACCCGATGACCGTCTGGCTTTCGCACCAAATTTTATCCAATATCCTCCTCAATATTCAGGTTGGGTATGACAAAAATTGCCCAAATAAAACTTCGCGAGGTCGTAGCCTGATGCTCTTTTTTTTGCGACCCAACACCTTATTAGTTAATGTTCTACAATATTTGTTGTAATTTGTTTAACCTTCAATCTGACATTATTGATTACTATCCGTCGCAATATCGTTTATATACTTACATATGCCATGTGTAAGTCAAAAAGTTCTCGAGGTCGTGCTCACTAACATATTCATTTATTCGTTACCTTAAAACTTTTTCGTTTCGATTTGTTACAGTTCCACAAAAATATATTTTATATTTAGATTAATTAATTTACAGTACATAGAACTGGCGAGGACTTTGCGCCACTATGGGAGGATACCTGCAGGGGAAGCGATCACGGATGCTGAAAACGTTGGTGCAAGTGGCGACATGGTCAGAGTTAGTGTGTCACTGGCATCCAAGGAGTTGACATTGACGAGTAAAGCCATCCCGACGCGGGAACAAAGGTTCAAGGTCACAAGAATGAGATGCTGGAGAATCACTACATTACATACAGTAAGAATAATATTGTTATTTATTTCCTTAATTTTTGTAATCATAATAAACAATAAACCCTATAAACAATAATAAACATTATTTATTTAAATACTGTTCAATGATAATTTTAAATACTTGTATAAATATAATAATATGTTACTGGCGTTGTTATATCGTAATGAGTTAGGGTTTCCTCCAATTTCATCCAACTGTCTATCATTTAATTAAAACATGAGGCAGACCAAACTTTTATCTAGACTTTTATTAGTAACTATCTGTTCCCGCAACTTCATCCGTGTGAAATTTAACTTTATTTGTCTAAAATAAAAGTAGCCTAAGTTACTCCTTATTACATCAGCTACCTGCCAAAAAAAGTCCCGTCAAAATCGGTCCAGCCATTTCAGAGATTAGCCGGAAAAACAGACAGACAAAAGTTGTAAAAAATGTTGTTTTCATATGCATGTAATAAAAAACGGTTATTTCAATATTACAAACACTCCAATTTTATTTTGTATGTATAGATATCTTTATTTTCTAGGTCCATTACAGACACTTATGACAAGTCTAGTTAATCTACCGTCTATATATGTGATAGTGTAATAATTACACTATTACTTAGGGAAAACCCGAATATATAAGCTAATATTTCTAGGAACAAATATTAATTAAGTCTTACTTGACACAGACAGTAAATAAAATAAATAAAACAGTGGCAGGCCATGATCATACATTTCATGTTTATGATTTCCTGCATATATTGCATTACACATAATTTTCCTGGGAATTAAAAAACATTTTACACCAGTATAGGTCGCCAGTAACATATTACTAATGTCGCCTTGGAGCTAATAGTTCCTATTCTAATTCAACAATTTGCTCGTATTGTGATATATGTAAACAACCTTATAACGATATCATGAGACAGTGATATCACTGAGATAGCAACAATTAATGTTATGAATGTGACCTTATTTAGATGGACAGACCACAAACAAACGGCCATGGATCATTACTCGAGGAGTCCAATAAAAACTTTGAGCTGTCCTTTGAATATCTAATCAGCAAAGACAATTTGAAATGGATAACTTTGAAAACGGAACACGCCACTTTTATAAGTGTTTGCTTGCAGGTAACTTATTTTTCTATATTCTCTAGCAAGAGTTTGAAATTTAATGAGAAGTAGCAAATTTTCTTTATCTAGATTGGAAGTCTGATATTGAGAGGTCATATTATATACCTTTTGTCTTCTGTATATAGATATTTATGGCTTGGAATTATATGTTGATTGTTTTGTGTTAAAATAATAATTATATTTTAATAGAAATAATCTTTATTTATATAAAGTCAATACAAACACTTTTAATGGTCATATTTTTTTATTCTACCACTCATTGGAAACGCAGATTCCTCACAAGAAGAATGTGCAAGAACCTTATGTGTTGCTCTTTTGGCATGTTTCTTAATATAGAAATTGTAAAAATATGTAAGCTGAAGTCACAAAAGCGAGCTTATTTATTTGTTATGTATGCTTTCGCTGCTTCACCTAAAGATTTTTTTTGACAGTCGATAGTTGACGAACTAATGCGGCAGAAGAATGGCTCAGGGCCAGTGTCACCACGATGCGGCAAACGCGGCAGTCTCACGTATCTGCGTCGAGATGGCTCCAGTCAGCTCATCACGCCGTCCTCTTCCAGCGACACGCTCAGCTCCGCTGTAAGTTTTAGTACTCTACTTATCTGTATGCGGTTAAATTCCATTAACATTAATATTAGTAGTCTAATGTCATTTGTATATTATAATACTATAACAAGTTGATATTTATGTTGATGATCAATATAAATGGAATTGTATTTCAAATTTTACATAAGATTTACCCCAAGTCAACTTTTGCAATCATGCACTCACTAAGCATACCTCAGGCGCTTAAATGTCGCAAAATGACACTTCAATAGATTTTTCCCTCTTTCTATCTTAGACACGTAACCAAATCTTACTGTTTGTAGCCAGCCAAATCCCAGTGGACGAGTGCCATAATATTACATATATATATAGAGCGACATATTGATAAGCCATTACATTGTAGGACATGTATTATATATTGCACATGTAGGACAAAAAAACTATTGAACTTGACTAGAAATTGATCTTATAACTATTGGTTTCTATTGCTCCTTACATTGACTCTGTGTGGCGACTCTACTGATTAACTGATTACTGAATGTGACTGTGTCTAGAAGAAATCGACACTATGTTGTTTTATGTTCAACAAATTGTACATTATTATTGTAATACATAGTGTTACAATTTTTTTTCTGTTCAATTATAAGTATGTGTCTAAAATGTGTGACTGACTTTGTATCTGTATTTTTAAAACAACATATTATATTAAAAGTTTTTGTATTAGGTACACTTTTCTTTTTAGAATTTGTGGGTTACAATTATTATTTATTAATTAGTAAAAAAAAATTATTTGTCTGTTGACGATTATAATATGACCTTCTATTCATGGTTTTTTGTTCATAGAATGGAGATTCCTATACATCAGGAAGTTCAAGGGAGATATTTTCAGTACAAAGACTCACGGAAAAATTTGCGTCTGTCGCATTCAAATCTGGCAGAGACTGTGTGGAGAATAATGCCTTTGAAGCAATTGGGGATGAGGAATTGTAAGATCTTTTTTACATTACAATTTGTATGGTCCAAAGATTTTCATCACTGCAAGCAAAGTTGCCAATATTCGTGTAGCCATAATGTGTATATATTGTTTACGTTAAGTAAATGTACCATCTCTCTCTAAGTCTCTAGACAGGTACATTAAGAGTGTTCCTACCATAAGACGTAGGAAAAACCTTCAGCCTCCTTCAGAATTTTTCAAGTATTTCTCCACTGTTACGTACAAATTAGATTATTATTGATCATGGAACAGATTACGGACTTTAGCACTAACATTTTTGATGTGTTACATATTTTACTATGAATGTTTCTAATCCTTTTTTTACAATCAAATTACAATATTTTAGTTTTAATATACAATTTTCGTTAATGTGTTACACTGTAACCATTGCTTCAAGTTCCTATTTTGTGTTACGCCTTTTAGACTTGAAATATAAGTTTATAATATTCTATATTAGTATAATGAAATAATATTGTGTATATAATAACTTTAATTGAATTTTTAAAATTCGGATATGTATATAATCTCCTTTTTATTTTATTATTAATGTTTATATATAATAAGGAGGTTGCCAGTCTTATGGTGTGAACTCTTAAATACATAAGTTGCATACTAATAATAATATTTATACAATTCATATTTTTACCATAGTATATGGTAGGAAACATATCTTCTAAAGCGATATTAATCTAACGTAGGAATCTTGGTAAACTTTTTAAAATTTACCTACTTGTATCCGAAATTAAGTAAAACTTTGTAACTATATAGGTGTCTTAAGTATGTGTTATAAATAAATCTTTCCTTTCGTTAGTTGTAAATCTAGGCCTAAATATAAAGAATTTATTCAGAAACTGCCTAGTCGGTTACATATCTAATAATAGATATGTTTTGAAACTCCAAACATGTCGTTTATTGTTTAGATTTTAATTTAATGAAGTGGCTATAATTACATACTTTATATGCGCAAACATTACTGCGTAAGTATTCAATATAGTATGTAGTAAGAGGTACAGATTCCTAGTTCTGTTCATATTAATTATTGGAATATACTGAATCTATGTTTTATTATATTTATAGTTTAGTGGGTTTAAATTTTAAATATGTATATAGTTTTCGTACATTTTGTATATAACTTTTTTATATTTTTTAATATGTTTTATACAATTACGTAATTTTAAACCCTTTAATCATAAAAACTTAAACCTACAAACCTATTATAGTGCTTGTCACTTTCATTAAAACTAAGTAAACAATTTCAAAGCAAAGGACAAAAAAGTTCAGTAGCTAAAATGAGTCCTTTTAAAGTTTGACGTTTTTATGAATCTGGGGTATTTTATGCCTCACGGACTTCTCGAATTTAATACTATATTAATATAATTTAAAAGCTCAAATTATTTTTAATGTTTATATACAAATAAAACTAAAGATTTTGTGAACCTAAATACGTTCTCACAAATTTATTGAATACGGTACCAAATCTCTTTTTATATTTCTAAAAACATATACCTACACTAGACATTATACACACATATTCTCTCGCATTTAAAAATATGTTTAATTATAAGACTTCCCATTTCGACAATATATTCTCGAGTTTATCTTAATATTTGGGGCAACAATATTTTATTTTCTTCTCTCTTTCCTTTTAAATATAACCACACGTCTTTATACAACTCGCTTATTTTATTATAATAATGACGATTTTATAAAAGGAATCTTTTAAAATTACGATCTCGAAACTAATTTTAGGCGATTATATAAATAACTCCACATTACCCACAAATTGAGAATATAGAGGCTACAGGATGCTACCTGCTACTACGCAGATATACATAATATGCGACGAATTTTATAACTCGAGTAAAAAGATTTTGTCGTAGAGTAGAGTTAAGAATGTATGTGTGCAATTATTACGTTTGCAGGACAAGTAACTTTAACATTATTACACATAATTAAAAGTTTAATATTCTTTAGATATAAATTGTAAAGGTTGATTTTCAGGTCTGGTGACCGGTGCGTTTAACCCGCACGTCCTACACTCAGTTTGATAGTCCAGGTCACTCCATAAGCAAATTTTATTATCTTTTTACATAAGACCTTTTAACAATCATGGGCCGCTTATGTGCCTGTTGTAACAAGGTGTACATATGTGTCTCTATGTACAAATAAATATACAATTATTCGTGACGACCGCGCTAGTTATACACACCGGTCTGGAGACATGCAAGTCCATAGTTAGAGACTTATATTACAACACACTATTTTCATTATTTTGCCTCCGCCTTTCCACACACAGTCTGAGCTGGTTATATTTTAATAGTTGAAATTTCATATTTTAATACTAATAATTGAAATGTTATGTCACAAAATCAACACAGGGGTGGTAGGAGTCTTAGGTTTCAGGATTTTTATAGGATGTTTGTGACTTTATCAATCACTTGTTAGATATGTACATTCTTGTCACGCTCCTCCTACCCTTCCTTAACATATGACGTAATTGATGTATTGCCCCTAACAGAATTAGTGAAAATGTCATAATCTGATAGGAATAAATTTCTTATTAGTTCCAATTAGAAGGAAAAAACTTCATTGTTATCTCAAAGACTGGCATGTACGGATAAGTAAGTGATTTGAATATATGGCTATCAAGAAAGCCATAAAGAATGAAAGTGAATTTAATAAAAAAATTAGAAGATAATGAATACTATTGATTGTATAACGTATGTTTGTAAAATATAATGTAGTCCAGGTAGAAATACAAGTGCTTTTACGAAGTTTCGGGCCTTGGGAATTGTAATACGAATGTAGAGTAAGCGAAAGGTTGCCTGGTTTTTACATGATTGTAGTATGTACACATTTCTATATATATTATTATAAATGAGAGAAGGTAATAATTTGTTGGGTAACACGAATAATTTAATAATTTATTTATAAATCTAATTCATAACTTTTAAAATAACATAAATTTAGATAGTATTTTATTTAACTTGCCACTTGAATAACAATTGGATGTACCTAAAATATTTTATCAACAAAAGTGAAGGATGGTTTTGTTTTGCACCGAAATTCAGTTGTAATTGCTGAACACAAGCGGCAGGTGTTGTTATATTTTTGGCGAGTTTCTTATAATATAAATATCTATTACAATGCTAATAGTGGTTATAATAATGAAAACGTCAGAGTTAAAGATATAAGATATTTGGGAGTGTTTGAGAATGTTTCCGAAAAAATAACGATGGAAACTCAAATTTCTGTCATGTATATCTAATTGTAAATTATCGGTGACCTTATATTATGCCCTATAAAGCAGTAGTATCACTTTAATAATACCAATTATTTTAAACATGTAATCCAATGGAACTCTGTAATAAATTATGACTAAGAACGTTAAGTTCGAAATCGAAATCTCAAGTTTTAGATTTTTTATTAGATTTATGTACATTATTTAATAACTTGGAGTAACTGTCTTTTTACAGCTGTAATATTTATATATCCACAATATTTTTCAATAATTGTCATTTAACAATTTGAGGTACCTACTTAAGATAATAAGATTCCTTAAAATGAGTAGTTTAAAATGGGACTTCCTTCGTCCGTCCTATCAGTTGACCGTTACAAAGGTATATTGTTCTCTAATGTCTTAGATTACTTAATTAGAAAAGAATATTCATTTCCGTTTTGTACTGTTTTGACTTCTGTTTAATAGGTGTAACAATTTGTATTAAAAAGATTTTGCTGGTTTCGTCTCTTAAAACGAATAAATAAGTAATTTTAAGAGACGAAAACAAAGTAAATAGTTACATAACCAGTTTTATTATTTTAGCATTTTTATGTATTTAAAATAATGGTCTGGTTGTATTATTCACCGTATATCAACGTAAAGATATTGTGTAAGCGAGTTTTAGGTAACTATCTTAATCGCTGTTAAAACTATCACAGAAGTTATTTAACAATTTAATTTATTAATATACATATCTATCTACACTCTGTATGTATTTTTACTGTACACCGAAAACTAAATAAAACGCAGTACGTATTTTTTTATACACCGTAAATCGTAAAGTAACGTATCTAATATCGTAACGATTCCAATTTCTCTATACACTTTGTTAATAATCATAAAAAAAAGAAAACTTCTCTGTTATGTGTTAATAATGTTAATCTAGTCCAGAAAATGAGTTTAATACCTGTCTACATAAAACTAATCATTACTAATATACCTACTTTATTTGTTAGAAAAATAATGTACGAAAAACTTACTTCGAGTCAGACTCGCACTTGTTTACTTTGTAATTATAAGCTTATATCTATTTATTTATTAATATTTCTTCATTTTGTACAATAAGCGTAATGAAATATAACGAAAACAATGTAACAAATAAATTAATATGAAACAGCAGGGTGTAGCTTAAGGATAAGTTCGCACAAAGAATTTTCGCTATTAAACTAACGATTGAAGAATGTTCCATATATTTTTTTTACTTTCCCATATGTTCGGTTTGAGTATGCTATGTACATGACGATAAATAATGCTGGTTTGGTGTACACTAAAATTAAGTAGGACGGTAAGCATTTTTTAAAAGCATTTGGTAGTCATTGTTTGTTGTATATAATGAATCTTTCTAAATTGTGATTTTGAACAAGTGGAACATTTAGTGAATTTTTATTTTGTATATCTATTGTTGTCTATTGTCATATTTGTTATTATAATGGTTATGAGAAAATAAAATTTTAATTTCATGGGACCATTTTCAATTAAGTATTGATTAATAATGATTGTAGGTACTTACCTTATTATTGAATATATTTAGTAAATTTGCCCCAAATTCTTAGAGGCCATGTAATATGCATTCTTTGCCATACATATATTTACAATATTAATTAAATTATATTATTTCTTTTTAATTATTAGTGTTTATTATTTTGATATAATAAAATGTTTTAAATAAAACACTTCTTTAATTATCCTTATAGTTTTAAGAACTTAAAACTGTTCCAATAAATTAACACTAACATAATCTCTGAATATGCCAATGATGGAGATTGGTCTTTATCAAAATGTATTTGTCATGTATTTCGTTTATATATCCATCTTGCATGTACTATGTATAGTATAAACAAAGTTGCTTTTGCTGTCTGTTCTCCTATATCTGTTAAACTACACAACATAGTATAGTATTCAAGAGTAATTCAAGAGGAAGGATTCTATGTATAATAGTACCTGTGCAAAGCCGTAACGGGTAGCTAGTAATTAATAAAAGTGTAATTAAAATTTCCAATAAAAAATAGTAAATTTTTGATTAACTAAATTTATTGATAATTATATTTTAATTTAAACATTTTTAAATAATAACTGTATGAGGAGTTTAGTAGTCCTTTTCCCAATTCTCACGCTCTATGCGCTCCTTTTTGACCTGTTCTACAATTGGGCTGAGGTAAAGCTTATCTTCATCATATTTGGTCCACTCTTCTTTAGGCAGAATGGTCTTCTGTATGGAGAGTTGGACAGCTCGGACAATGCGAAAATTGCGCTCATCAACTAAATTGTCAGGAAGACGACGCAGTGCTTCCTTCACATCTTCAGTTTCATACAAGCAGTCATCACGGAGCAGACCTGATATGAGAATATTAAATCAATTACCAATTTATACAAGAAACATACTCATACATATTGGGTTTTTATAAAAAACATACAGTAGAAAATGGTTTTAACAATTTTGCAATAAGATTTCAAATAAATACCAGAGTTCAAACAGAATCAACATAAATTTTATAGAGCATATAATAACTATTTTGATAATGATATATCTTGATAATGTTTCACTTTTTATGGTGCTTTAATTTAAATTATGAACTTTGGTTAAAGGATCGTCTCCAAACAAAAAGCGCACCCACATTATATCCGTGAGAGGCTGCAAATAACGGAATAGATTAGTTGCCCGAATATGTCAGAGGACAATTCACTTACCATACTTATTGAATCCCGATAAATTATATGCCCATCTTTTCAAGCTGCCTGAAAAATAAAACACGGGTTATATAATTATGACAGAACAGTAGTAGTTTATTCTGCATAATTACAATAAAATAAATTACTTACTATGTACGATGGCAGTTGTTCTGAATGCCATTTTTATTTATGAATAAATTATGGATATATTGATAATTAGAAGAGCAATATAATTTTCTTTCAGTTTCACGATTTGTGCTGAAAAAAAATGTTTAATTGACAATCTGAGTGACAATTGACAAAGCTGTCAAAGACAATATCATTGTTGCCAACCTCAAAAATTGTTGTATCGTATAAAACAATAAACTTATTAAAAACTAAAATGCTTAGCACCTTAGCTAAAAAGACTCGTAGAAGTATAAAAACCAGCTATACAGTGTTCTTATATCTAGTAACTGGAGATGTGTAAAAATATATTTTTTATATACTCAGTTAATTTTAAGGCTTGTTAACTATAAGATAGTTATCACAATAGTGATAGGTAACATTATATTTATATACTTTTGGGATTACATTATTGTCTAAGAATAACAGATATTTTTATTAAATAACTACTAAATATTATGTTTATTTGACAGGCGTTTATTTATGGTGTTAATAATAAGTAAAGATAACACGCATCAATTCGAAATTTCTATGGTTGTCACTAGTTTCGAACACTGTTTTAGTTTTCTCACAGGGTGAAAGTAACTACATCAATTTGCGATAAAAACTTATATAGTAAATTAAAATATAAACAATATTTAAAAAGTGTACTAAATATTTTTTGAAATGACCTATTATTCATTATTCATCCTATATAAATACAGGATGGTATATAAATACAGATCTCTTAAGAAATGTTAATAATAAAAATATATTTGGCGGGTTCAGAAGGCTCTAAACTTCTGGCTGACACTAGCTTACGCTACGATACGGGTGATGTTTTGGGGCGGGATCGGATAGGGTAACGTTCTCTATTCTATTCTAATGGACTCTGCACAAAAGCACTGTGCGTATATGGTTAGAATCACTTATCACTTTACAATACAATAAAGTTTCATAATCTTTAATCGCGTTGGAAATTTCAGACCGCTAATGTTGAATAAATTATATTTTAATCGGCTAGAAGAATAAAAGAAAATAAATTTTGAGTTAACAATGTTTTAATAATTAAATTTTGCATGAAAGTAATATAAACAGACAATATTACACGGAACGACATTGCGATAGTTCCTAGCATGCATAACAGTTATTTGCTCAATGATTTTACGCCAGTACCTAATGTATATTAAGAAAAAATCTATTTAAATTAGAAGACTTCTTGTTCCAAGTCATTAATTAAATTTCATACATTGCATGTAAAGTACTAATATAACGTTATATTACAATACAAATTCAATCATTAAGTCAATCAAAAAAATCATGAATCAATCAGTCAATTCAAATCTTCTGTCATTAATTTCGATATTCTGGATAATTTTTTATTCCGTACCAAAATTTTTTTATCTAATATATTTCTTGTTTTAATAATTGTATGAAATATTTAAACTTTCTATATAAGTTAGCAAACTTAATAAAATGTACCAAAAAGAGATATATAAATATGGAATTAATACGTCCTTGTAGTTACAACACATAACCGCAGCTCTATATCTTGAGAGAATTTTAAGACATTATCGTTCTTATAATATTAAGAATATTAAATTAATGCATGTAAATTCGAACTAAATATCGTGTTTTGATCATGTAGTCTTTATTGTCTAATTTCTCACATTGGACAGTGCGTAAAAAAACCATGTAACATGACTATTCTTCTAAACTAAATAGGTACGTAAGTTGTAAATTGTGTGCTCTACTTAATTTTATAGATTATTAGCGGTGGTCCGGGTAATAATTTTATTTTACTTTTATGTTTATGATGTAGTAATGTAACCCGTGGCCCCTTCAAGTTCCTTATCAATAGTATTTGTTCGCCTGTGTTGGTTGTACTGAACTTCGAATGACCTCGACGACCTCCTAGTTCCCCGTCCCGCTTATCATTATCAGTTGGAATAAAATGAGACGACAAAGAGTAATTAATTCATCAAATATCGTCGCGCCTTCACGCACGGACACATTTGGCTCTGACAATTTACTTTTAACACTTTTTGTTGAGTAACTTGTGAATACAAATTTATAGTATTGTTGTTCAGAGCCATTCTCGGTGTAATTCTAAGGATATTGTGATTTTTTTCTTCATCCTGCATCCAAGAGGAGGAATGCAAAGTGACTGTCGGGACTGTTTGGGAATTCGTTATCGAATTAACACCCTGCACCAAACCTGGAAGTGGCTGCATCAGACAATAGCTCTTCACGAATACCTGATCTCCCTCTCGGCGGCTGACACTGATGCCTATTGTTCTAAGCACTAGTGACTAACTTGAACTATTTTTAAACTATTTTTACTGTTAATTCATAAGTTTTTTTCAATTTGTTTTTACATTTAATTTAATTTGAAATACATTAAGTTCATACAAAAAAGTATCCGTTAAAGTATTTTTTAATAAACTTAAAGATGGCTCATTCAATGAAGAAGATCAATATGAACAGTGTTTGTGTGATGATGGGACTCACAAGAGGAGTTAGTGTACGAAGCTTGGCTACAGGTCTTAACAAGACCGGAACACCAAAGAAGGAGCGCATTTTGCCGTCCGAGGGGGAGGTTACAAAGTCAGTTTTTATGTCCCAATCTACTGATATCTATACCAATTTGGCTCTGGAAGACTGGATGTACCGTAACATGGATTTTACAAATCATCATGTAATGATGGTGTGGCGTAATGAACCTTGTGTTGTAATTGGGAGACACCAGAACCCCTGGCTAGAGGCAAATGTCCCATTACTATCAGAGAGGGAAATGGCTCTTGCTCGTAGAAATAGTGGTGGTGGTACTGTGTACCATGATCGAGGCAATCTCAATGTGACTTTCTTCACACCTCGTGAACGATATGACAGGAAATACAATCTGGAATTGATTAAACGAGCACTCTTCAGAGGTTTTGGTATAAAATCCACTATCAATGAGCGACAAGACATCATTGTTCGTGATAAATTCAAGGTATTTACTTTGTTAAATAATATAATATTCACTTTGTTATATAGTTTTGTAACTATTTTTCACTACATAAATGTTACATTTACAATGCAATAAAATTATAAAAGTTACAATGTAACATAAAAGTATGTATGTATAAGATAGTATCTAACTATCTTATACATACATACTTTTATAGAAGAATTATACTACCTACTATAGTACTTTTTTAGTATAACTTGTCCAGAAAAGTTACCACAATATCACCTGCTGCCACCATTTCTGCCTGAAACAACAATGTAATATTTGTGTTCAAGAATAAACAGTAATAAACTAGGACAATCTCTGTTTCTAGAGTTAAAGCCTGGTGAAGGCAACACAGAGTTTCTTTTTAAGTCAGTAGAAAAGCTCTAAGAGCCATTGACACATATATGAAGACTCAAAATGAAAAGTATATTATGCTATTATTTACCAGCATATCAGTTTTTAAACTTGTTTCCCATTCTTGATATTCTCAGTAAATATATAACACTTTTCTATTATTCAACAGGTCTCAGGCACAGCTGCGAAGCTCGGTAGGCTGACAGGCTACCATCATTGCACACTTCTAGTCAACGCCAATAAGGCAGATCTCAGCAAGGCTCTTGCAAAACGTGAGGTAAGTTAAACCTAATCATGTTCATGTAGATTCATATAGTTTTTTTAGTTAACCTGGTTGTAGTGTGTTGCTAAGTAATATTATTATTATTGAAAAATAGAATATTATGACCGTTGCCTCAATAATATCTCAATCAAACTGATTTGCCATATTACATGATATCGCTATTAATGAATAGGAGTTGATGGTAAAGTTTAGGAGTATATGTATGTGTATCTTAAAAAAAATAAACATTGTCTAAAAATAAAGAAATATATGGTAGGCAACTGTTATCACTTAGGATTATAAAAATATATGTAACAACACCTTTTCTCAGACCTACCGAGTATACATATAAAATTTCATCAAAATCGGTTAAGCTGTTTTGGAGAAGTATAGCAACTAACACTATTGCACAAGAATGTTATCTACATAAACTAAGTACTATGTATGTTCAAGTAATGGATATATATGACATATGGCATAAAGAAAATGTCCTGACTTAATAAAATATTCTTGTTTATTAAATTACAATTTTAGCCTCCATAAAGGACCTTAGGAAAGGGCACTACTGAGTTTTTTGTTAGTTGCTTATTGAAATCGCATAAAAAATATATGTAACCCAGATTTTTACATATTCAGTAATGGCAGAGGTCACACCGTCCACTATTATGATGAATCATTGTTGTTGTTAGTAACAAGCCCGTATTCGGTTTTCAGTGCAACGACAGCCATTTTCTACAAACTTTATTATTACAAACCTTATGTTATTGTCCTAAGACTTAATTTTAATTAGGCCTTAAATTACTTTGGCACTGAATAAAGTGCAGTGTTTTGTTCTTAATGAATGAGCATGGAGACATTACATTCACCTGTTAATTCTTATTTTAATTAATTATGAGAATGATAATTACATGTTGATTCTTAAATTAACTTATTATTCATTGTTAGAACCATTTCCACTGTTATGCCATAGGCTTACTTAACAATATTCAAGAACATTCATCTATTTATAATTTATTTTGATGTTGACAATATTAATTTTTGCTATTCCATGATCGCTTCTAAGGAGATAAGTATTTATATATATTTAATATAATATAAAATATTATATAAGTAAGCAATGAATAAATATTCTAATTTAGTCACAATCAATTCAATTTGGCTGTATCTTCGTTGTTTTAAGTGGGTTATTTATATTTATACCTATCAATATGCATGCACACATATTACATAACATAATTATACATTTGGGATTTTTACACTAACAATCCTCAGTAATAACATTAACCCAACCCCTTCCCATCACATCACATGATAAGGGCCTTTGTAATTATCTAGCATGGCATACAGACGAACGCGACGGCCTCCACGCGGTCGGCGGTGGCCAATCTCGCTGACGTGGACAACAAGATCACAGTGGACAGCCTTCAAACAGCCCTTGGGTACGAGTACTTGCGCACGCCGGCCATTAGTTTAGAAGATGGCGGGCAGAACCAGATCTCTAAACAACGAGGCTTCCAATTTATTAACCCCACTGACCAGTGGTTCCCAGGTTGGTACAATGTTTATTTTAACAGTAAAGAGTATTTATTACGATTCTACTCGCAACTTTAATTTGTTTCAACTTTTTGAATAAACAGATTGACAGGGATATAAAGTAGCCTATGTCCACTATCCCAAATAGTGTGCATTAGTGTTTAAACATTGAAAGCGTAATTTAACAATAATAATAATAATAATCTCAGGACAATTCACACAGTGCCATCTAGTCCCAAGTTAAGCTAGCTAAAGCTTGTGTTATGGGTACTAGATAACTGATACACATACTTAGATATTTTTTTTTCGTAAATACATACATATTATATATAGAAAACACCCAGACCGATACAAACAATTATACTCACGAATACAAATGTTTGTGCCGTGCGAGGAATCGAACCCGGCACAAACAATTTGAAAGCGTGAAACCGATGTTAACATAATATTAAAAATAGTTTTAAAATGTTTCAGATTATGATGACGTACAGAAATAATTATTTATTATTTATCCAACAGGTCTTGGAGAATTAAAAAATGATCTCAAAAGCTGGGACTGGTGTTTCGGCAGGACACCAGATTTTACCGTTAGTCGCACTTTCCCAGTGCCTGTTGAGTTACTTGCGCCGTCCAAAATCTATTCAGCTACACAAGAACTCATTATTAACATGACGGTTGTGAAAGGCCTCATAAATGATGTCACTCTCAGCATCCCACCAGGTCTCGTTGAATCTGGCTTCCACGGTGAAGCTTCCGTCATCACCCATCTGAAAGGGAAGAGGTTTACATCTGAAGCACTCAGTGCGCTTCAAGAAGCCATGTTGACACGTCACTTGACAAGTGACGTTAGCAAATTGGATGATAGGGAACAATTTGTTGCTAAGTGTTTTGACCAAGTTGTTAACACTGTATAAATGTCTATAACTTGATTATACAATGTATAGGTGCTATATGTATTTTATGTTGTATTTTTAAGTCATATTATTCCTGTATAATAATAATATAGAATATTATTACTATAAAGTAACTTAAAAATAGTGGTAGATTAAGATGTAGGACTCAGGGTCCTGTATTGTATATATTTGTATACCTACTAAAATAATATTTTTGTAGTATCTGTAAATATTTGTCTCAACTGCATGTATATGGTAACGATCCTTCTTTAATCAGAGCACCTAGTCAGTATACAATTTGTTCTGTTCAGTAATCGTTAGTGCATTAAACCTGGTAATGTTAAATTATCTTAACTTTTATATAAATAGAGCATAGAATGTAACTGACACCTGTACCAGAGAGCATGTGATTGTAAACGTGTTACAATAGGGTAGCTATAGAATTGACTTTTATAATAGAAATATTGTATAAATTAAGTAATGTTTGTAAATAAAGACAATAATTATTATAGAAAGGATGGTTATCTATGCATTGCAGTTGACACCGTTATAAATTATCGTAAAAATTGTAATCTACCTTCGTGTGTCTTATACTACGTAGCTTCATGCCTGTCTATTAATGTTTCTTCTTTGTAATTTTTTCTTTTTGATTAGTTTTGTGTTTGTTTTAATCTGTCAAATCTGCTTGTTACATTTGTGTTCTTTAGTTTAGTGTTATATTATTAAATAGTTGGTGTGTACCGTAATAATGATATATAAATCTTACGCCCATAATATATAAAACGTTAATAATAATCTAAATTTTCCGTTTAGAATATGCTAATGATTGATTAATTAATTATTTTCCGATTACCACAGAAGGAATACACAAACGTTTATTACACTATTACGGTGCACACTGCGAGGTAAACACGCGAGTCGCACCCTAGTGCCGAACGCTACAAGAATGCATCATATCATTTGATTTAATTAAATTATAATTTTATAACTGAATTAACTTATCCATGTAATGTTACTTATCCAACATTTCTGTAGCATGTATGTACTTTTGTAACATTGTATTTTAATGTAGACATCACTTAACATAACTAAACCATTTCATTTACGTTACTTAGTTCTTACGACGCAAGATCCACCCATGGCGGGAACTTTTTTGTATGAAATGGAGTATTTTATTTAGAATTACTTTGCATGTTTAGTTTAGGTTGTTATAATTGTTTTCAATAATTTTACTTCTTATAAAATTGGTGATTGTAAAAGATTTTTCTATTCAATTTATGTTTTGTTTTAAACAAAGCTGTCTTTATAATTGTGGTATATTTAGTAATGTTACTATAATAAAAATAGGAACTCGTATACAATATAAATAGGTAATGTTGTACAATTTTATTTGTTTATTATTATTGAAAAAGATTTAATAATGTAAAATAAAGTTGTTGCATAAATTTGTTTTTGTTTAATTTCGATATCAATACCGTACAATAAATTTTAAATGCTTTTGTAGTTAATAACCCAAGGTGAAGGTTGCCATTCATTACAAACTAGCTACTACGCTATTGATTTATGATTAGAAACCTAATCAGCGGAAAATGTGAAGGCGGAGGTGTGAAGCTAACGAGCTAGAGATCTTGTGGGCCGTACGCATACAAATCTATAATAGGATTAGTGGATTCATTCGCGCTTGTCCTCGTGCAACAAAAACTCGCTTGGAACCAGCTCTTCCTCTCGCTTTTGAAGAGCCGCAGTGGTGGTCACGGCCCGAAGTTACCGTAGCCAGTCTGCGCTCGTACACTGCGGCGCGCGCGCATCGTGCGCCATATTGAATTCTCACGGGTTGCTATGACAACCGCGTAAACAAACTCCGACAGTTTTGTTGGTTTTAAAAATTATTTGAGGAATCACAATTGATACATTATAAATAATTTCTAGTGTTGTGAGATTAAGTATTGTATGTTTTTTGTACATAATTAATAAAGTAAGTACATATCTAAATAGTTTTTAATATATTTTTTTAATGATAAACAATATAGTAGGTATAAAAGTATTACGTGAGAAAGGTAGGTATAATGCTTAACTAGGAAAGTAAATACAATAAGATAAAATTAAATGTAGGTGTAAATCCAAAGCTTAATTTTATATTATTTTCCACTAGGATTGCAATTATAGAAATATATCAATCTGTTATCGACTAATTGTAAACAAAAATAGTTAATATCTTTAGACGTTGATATTGTTATTGTTGTTATTACTGAACTGTTTTATGTTTGGCACATGTTTGCCCGGAAGGTTTAAAATACCTAAATTTTCACGGATATGACTAAAGGAACATTCCTAAAAATACAATTTTACTTATGAATAACCGACTCCAACAGCAATCAGAACGGTGTTTTGACTGCTTAACAGCCATAGTCAAATGCCAAGGGAACTCAAACCAAGACAAACAGATAATGTTTGCCTTGCGCAGGCGTCGAACCCGCTACCTATCGTAAATAAACCAGCATTCTAGTTGCTAAACCAGCGAGGTTATGCAATGCATTATAAAAAACTAGTTCCCGGCGTCATAGTAATTATTATTCTCAGTCATAATTATAATTATTCCAGTTCAACTATCAGGAACTTGGACAAGATTAATAGTTCCTTATAAAACTTAATGCACTTATAATAATACCTTTACAAGTCCATTAGGCTGTAAGTAGTACCTAGTTGTAATAAGCCTTCTAATATTACATTTCGGGTTTCGTATTTTCGCTACCTATTTACAAATAGTTTCCTTGTATTTATTAACTGGGTTAGGTATCGAGAATGGCAAAAAATTTGACGCTCAATTTGGTGGAAAGTGAACTGCTTACAATGTGGCAAGAATTGTTAGTCATGTATCTAATAGAAATTGGTCACAATATTGTGTTATGTATTACTCATTAAAAATTAATATTATAAAAATATTAATTATACCTTCTATATATGTACATACGTTTTCATACAACATTCATGTCCGTATAACTAGTTAAAAATAAATATTTTTTTGTGGAACACCACATAATAATAAATAATACCCATTACCAACCTTTCTATAAGATATAGGTACTAATACATAGTATCCATTACATAGGCGGCTACAAGTATGTATATACTTAGTTACGTATTTAATTGCACTTAGAAATCGTACGTCCTTCCCGGCAGACCGACACTTGTCTGTAAAATAACATTTTACCTAGAATAGTAATGACTTGTAACGATATAAGTATTTTTAATGATATATGAAGTCAGATCAATTAGCCCATCGTGGAGCGGTACCTAGGTTTTAACTAAGGGAACGGCCTACATTAACCTAAGTACCTACATTTACAGCAATGGAATTAGGTCTTACCAGTCCCAATAATCCATCCCCTTATAAATTAATATATAAATTTTAGTCATTTGATAAGTAGGTTCTTCCCATACATCATAACTTTTTTATGTGTCTAATTTCCAAAAGTATATTATAATATATGGATTAATAACCCCATTGCTAGCAATGTACCATGTTAGGTTTACCTGCACGCAGATTAAATTAAATTATCACGATATCCTAACTCACCATGTTCATATATATCATCCGACACTGGTGCCATGCCAACGTAAACCGTTAGCGCAGGCGGGTACGCCATTCCAATATCATCAATTAATAAAACCTGTGATAACAAACAGGCAATCGGCAAAGAAACGTAAATGCTTAATTTTCTAGTAACACTAAGTATAATAGGCTATATATAGTCTAACAGTTACAATCATTCAATCATATCTATCCCTAATTTTTCCGTTTACACGATGCGTTATAGGTATGTTTGTATAAATGAATTAAGATTATCACAAGAAACTCAAGTTTTCTCTGTACCTAAAAGTTATTATGTACAATAACATGGTTCTAAACCACAGTTTATTCTTAGTTAGTTCTAAAAGTAGGCCTGTATAACTATATCCATATATCCAATTATGTAACAATGTTAACTTTATTGTTAAAAAATGTAGAAGAAGCCATTAACCACTTATAATATTATCGCACCATTTATAGACGACATTAATATAATGCACACACGGACGCAGTGTTGAGGTTTATTAAACATCTCTTTATGCATCTCTGTAATTCTCTTTTCTCACGATTTTAGCACAGGTAGACTGCGTCAGTATCTCAGTCTCACCTATTTTATTCGCCTAGCAGCTTGCTTCTTCCGTTGTAGGGTTAGATTAGCAGTAAATTAAAAAAAAAAAACATATATATAGGAAGGAGGCAGGACATCTTAGTTCGTTGGAATGGCAAAGTAAGAGTGGTATCATGAGTGACATAATAACGTGATGTCCATGCAACAGGTACTGCTTATCAGCAGGCGTGCCGTCATCAGGCATATTATTTTAATTACGTACAAAATATCGTTTTACTGTTACGGGCCCTTTAAATGGTTTAAAATAACATTTCCTAATTAAATAATACACATGATCTCTTTTGCTTTCTCTCTCAAATGTAACAAGTACGGACACAAAGGTTCCTCATTTACTTTTACTACCAATTTTAGATGACGTTACATAAATTATTATTTTTTTACCAATATCAATATATTATTGATATTATATTAATATAATATTATTAACCAATAACAATAATAATAATATCAATATAATATTATTAACCAATAACAATAATATTAATCATAACTATAATAATGTAAAATATACTATTTGATTAATGTTATTGTTTTTTATTCCATTATATTATGGTACTTCCTATATGTACCATAGCTATTAGGTACTTAGTGAAGATATAAACGTAGGTACCTTATAGTTAGGTACCTATTAAGTGAGTGCAAAGTAAGTCCATAATAGCCCGCGTTCTTAGTCTAAATATCTACATAACTGCCTTCTTCCTACACATAATTAACAAATGTTGTATTTATAATTACATGAGTTTAAAGATTTTCCCAGATGTAAGCTTACGTAGATTACCTGTAAGATGTTTTGTATACAAGGAAAAATTTATATAAAAAATAAAAAGTAAATCTGTACCAATATTATAAAGAAGTAAAGTTTGAGGTTGTAGAGGCTAATCTCTGGATCTATACAATCGATTTTGAAAATTCTTTTACCAATAGAAAGCCGTTATTTGTTGTTGTTAAATAGACTTATTCTATAAAATAAAACTACAACCAATAGGAGCGAAGTTGCAAAGAAAAATGTTGCAAAAATGGCGAAAATGTGACTCAGATGAAGTTGCGTGTTTTATTAATATCACAGATAAGATAATATGACATATAAAAGTTTGTAAGTATGAATGAATGCATTTCATGCAAAAAGTACTGAACGGATTTTGATGAAATTTTATAATATATAATGTCGCTTATACATCAGAATAACACATAGGCTATATATTTCATGCGGGTGAAACCACTGGCACAGCTAGTCTTAAATAACCACAGTCTTAAGAGAAAGAAGAATACTCATCATGTTTGGTGTCGGCTTGATTTTAACTCTAGATTTTACGGTGTAAACACCGACTTACACCGTAAAATCTAGAGTAAGTCACCTGGTCTCGTATAGTGGACCCTGAATTTTTATTTTATCAAGTATCTAAAGATATAATATTTTTTTGTTAATTTACCAGTGGCACACGCTGATTTTTTCGTATGACGTCATATTTAAATAACTAACAATTGATTGCTTTATTGCTGTATATATAATATTCAACCAATAAAATAATCAATCTGAGAATCATTCTTGTTTGTCGATCAATATTAAATAATAGAATTTAAGTAATTAATGTCTAGTCACGAACAGAGTTATATTTTTAGCTATAGTACAAATAAGTTAGTATTACATAGTTTTGCACGAAATAAAAATATTGTTTTACGCTATTTATAAACAGAAAAAGAGAATTCGTAATTTTGGTCGGACGTTAAATGTTATTTTATATCAATTTACGACTGAAATTAAAAAACAATAACAGTTTTGATTTACGGACAAAAAATAAAAATAAATATTTATACTTATTTAGATATCGTTACAAATGTTGTATTATTGGATGAAATAGATAGTATGTCAGTATTTATACATAACAGCA